AATGTAGCTCACAGGCAGAATGCTTGCCTAGCATGGCCCTGGATTTGATCACCAGTTACCAGTTCCACCAAAAAAAAAAAAAAAAAAGATTCCTTGGTTCAGATCAGAAAACTTTAAAGTCTTGTACTTGCTGGACACCATATTGTTGAGCTGAGTCTCCCAGGTCTCAATAAGTATCAAATAACTCTTTCTCTCTCAGAGATATAAGCAGGGTTAACTTTATACAAAATAAAGCAGAGAGACATTGTTGGTGTTGGAATGACAGAGACTCAGAGGATCAGCTCACAAATCCTGAGATAATTCTAAAGCCATTTTCTAGATGAGAGCATGGGCCATCAGCCCCACCTCTGCTGTTGGCCTCTTATCTTTCCTTGTTCATGATTGTGAGGACTGCAAGAGAAGAGGCCATCCCAGCTCTGCATATTCTGCAGCCCCCATTAGCGGCAAAAGGAGCCACAGAACCATGTGGTTTTAGAACTTCTCCAGCCCCAAATCCTAGTTTTCATCTCAGCTCTGATTGACCAAGGAAGCCGCTGACTGCTATTGTTATAACAAGATCCTTCCTTTAAAAGAAACCAAGGACTCCTAGACTGGGACTCAGTTTTATGTGCATGCATGTTTGTGTGTGTGTTTTAGAATGTGGAAGAACAAAAGACACCCAAATCATGTGACTAATTTTTCTTAATATTCTTGAGATATGCAACCATGGAGCAAGTAGTTTTTCTTTTTGTGCTGTGTACGTATTATTTTTTTTAGTGGTCTAACTGATCTTTTAAAATTTTACTACATTGGGTAAAAATTACATGATTCCATCAGAAATCAGACACAGGAATCAGACATTTCTTCCTGTCTTGGGAGAAAATTCCAGAGACCCACAGCTTCGATAAACTTTCAGAACTTAAGTAAGTTACAACTAAGACTGGATTAATATAGACATAATGTACACAATGCAAAACCAGGGCTTTAAAACTCATTTACTGCATTAAAAACATTTGGCTCTTGCCTCAAGCATTCCCTCACAAGGGCTTGGAGACAGGCATACTTCAAAACTTTCAAGATGTAACCCTAATTCTCTAAACAGAGCTGGCTATATGTCAATCAAAACCGAAACCCAAAGAAAGCTGTCAGGGCAACCTGCTTATTCTAGGGACAGCTTATCTTAGGTTGATCACTCATAGCACAGCACGAAGATGGTTAGGCTTGTTTCTTTAAAGAGTCCTCATCTTACAGGTAAGTGACTGTTGCTACATTTCAGGGAGACCAGCAGGAAAAAATCTGTCATTTTAACAAAGCAACTGATAGGTCTTTTCCTTTACAGTTACCTTGACTCTTGTAACTCACCATGCATGTAATTATCCTGAACAGAACTGGGAGGATCTGAGATCGGATTTGTGATCTGTTTCAAATATAGATAGCACAGGACTTTCTGCCTATGTAGTCCAGTCAATTAACATTCCTTCAGCTTTTTTATTCAATACTGATTTTGCTTTTTTTTTTCTTTACTGTTGTGATGGATGTGGGTACATTGTGGCATTTACCCGGGTTCCTACAATGCATCAAATTCATGTACCATACATGAATTTACCCCCTCTACCGCTCTCCTTTATCCCCTCTTCCCTGATTCATGATTTTGCCTTTGCTATAATTGCTTTACTCCACACACACACACACACACACACACACACAATAAAAATAGCACATTTTTATGAACCACTACAAGTCTTCTTAAAGGAAAAAATTAAACAACAAATAATCATCTGAATTGGTGGTGATCTGAAATCATGTTTTTAACCTATCTCTTTTCTAATTCGAGGTTGATCTTTCCAAATAAGATGTTATAGGGTCCCTTAAAACTATGTTGGCTATGTTTAGAGGTCATGCTGTGCTTTGTAGCCTAGTATTTCCTTTTCCCTTTCCCTTTACTATTGAAAGCTGGCCTCCCTTTTCTCCAGCCAGCCCATCTCATCTGCCCCCAGGCAACATTTAGCATACTGTTTAACAATACCCGCTCCACTGGGGATGTACCCTGTAGCACAGACTACACTCAAGAACAGGGGCTCAACCCCAAGCCCCTAGGACACAATAAGTTGTATAACTGCACTCTCTGGTTTGTTTCAGGGTAGCTGTCAGATCTATATGGAAAACACTGCTGAGTGGTATGCTGAAAAGAAGTAACCACACAGAGCCTCCCCCAGGAACATTTAGGTCTCAATCATTAATCTTTGCAACACTCCTATTAAAGAGGCAAGGGGCAAATTCTCTCATGCCAGCTGTTCACAGACTAGAGGCTGGGGCAGATCAAGGGAGGCAGGCCTGGAGTTGGTGCAGGGTCTGAGGAAAGAAAAGCCTGAGTTTCCTATCACAGCTTAGAACTGGCATCTCCCATGCAGGTTGCAGCCTGAGTAAGTGCACACGTGCCTTTTACAGGACTGTTTAACTTTTCAGACCCTGATATCCATACATGGCCATCCACAGGTCTTTCTGATTGGCTCTGTTCTTCAGTCCAGATCCCCAAGCCCAACACAACTAGCTGTCTATAGGCTGAAATTCCAGGCCTACAGGCAAAGGTTTTTAGAGGTCTCAGTTGCAGCTCACCTCTTGCAGAAATGCTCTGAATACACACACACACACACAAACACGAGATTCCTCCTCAGGCAATCTGAGTTGTTTGCTGGGCCTGGCACCTTCTTTAGCCCCTCCCTCATGCTCATAGATGGTCATCATGGGGACCAAAGCTAAGAATGAGGCAAAGAAGGCGCTGACACCAGTTTTGTATCACACAATTATGTACACTGGACATGCCTCTGCTTTCAGGTTTTTACTTTTTTTTTTTGAGACAGAATCTTGTTTTGTACTCCAGGCTGGTCTCCAGCTCTCAGTCCTCTTCCTCAACCTCCCAAGTGCTGGGATGACAGGCATGCACTGCCACACCTGGCTGCTGTTCTCATTTTGTGGTGTCCACACACATGATTTAGCAAGTACTATGTGATGAAGCCAACAACAAATATCCTATAACACAATCCATAGTTTGTAGAACTAACATCCATAATTTCACATTAAAAAACAAAATGAGGAAAGAAAAGGTAGCAAGTTATCAAAATAGAAGAATTGGTAAGACAAAAAAAAAAAAAAAAAAAACCCAAAATAGAACCTCCTGCCTGCAGGCTGTCAGCTTCGTTCCAAGATGGGAATCAAACACTTTTATGGCACAATTTAAAGTGATTCAATTTTTATAAACTCCAGGATGGGTTCATTTTTCATGTGTTTAGTGAGGTCTCTCTTTAGGAACCCAAACAGCTGTGAAATAGACTCCAATGTATCTAGAAATCAAAAAGCTAGAAACCTAAAACCCAAATTTCCATGCAATGCAATAGTTTATGTTAAAAATAATGAGTCAATGTCTACTGAGCCCTTGACATACGCCAGGCACTGCGCAAAAAAGTGCTTTATGTGCATAACTTCAGTTTAACACTTATAGAAATTTATGAGGGACACCCCCCCTCCACTTTACAGATTAGAAAATGGAGTTTCAAACAGGTAAACTGCCCAGAAAACCACTGCTTGGGTTTGAATCCAGAATTTTTTTCTGATGGTCACTCTTAGGTTCTTCTCTTCGTGGTTCTGGAGTGGCTTCTGAATTACCTGTTGAAAACTAACTTGTTTTTGTTAACTAGCAGCACCATATTTTAATATCAAGAGTGTCTTATCGTCTCCCACCTCTAAGTAATTTGTTTCTGAACTAACAATGAGACACATGCAAGGGATATTGTGAGAATCAAATACAATCACGAATGGCAAGACCTTTGAAAAATGTAAAGCATTCTATAGAAGACTGAGGATGTCACTGCTATCAAAAATGTGAACGTGTATGTGATGTGTGATCAATTTCAGCTGATCAGAACATTGTATAACTCAAAACACCTGCTTACCAAGACAATGTGCACACCTGTAGCTTGTGAACAAGTGGCCTTCTCACTTATTGGTCTGCGATGCAGAACACACAGAGGTTGGAGTTTAAGCATGAAACGTGTCGTTTTTCCAACTTACTTTTGGGCTACCACTACTTCTTTGGCTCCCTGGTCCACACCGTTGTCACGAATCTCTCTTTGGAAAGCACAGAAAACTGAAGTGCAAGTGCTAAGGCACTAACTAACGTGAATTACAGTTGGGGTCCCTCTCTGTTTTTTTATTAGTTACCCATAAACAAGGCAGAACTCACGATTAACAAACACTTCCTCCTACCAGCCCAGAAGGAGTTCAGGGCACTAGAGTTTAAAACTTCCAGTACCAGTCAATTGAGAGATCCTTGTTCGTCTTGAACTCGAATGATAAGGAAAATCACGACACGGTTGATGAACAAATGAAAGGACCCGAGGACTTTTTTTTTTTTCAGATTTTAATGAAGACGGATTGCATTTTATCAATAGTGCGATTTGGAAAGACCCTAGGTAGCCTTTCAAGTTCTGCTTCCCCGGCATGTAATAAGAAAGATAACTGGCACCGTGGAAAAGCACAGTGTAGGACCTCAAGGGAGAAAGAGTTTAGAAATCCAATGACAACAGGAAGGAAGCTCATTAACCCCTCTCCTCTCCACCCCTCGCCCGGGTGAGAACCGGCGGCTCCTCCTCCTAGGCGTAAGACCCTGATGCAAAATGCAAACAACCGCCCGCCTGCCTCACCCTTGTGCTCCTCTTCCAGACTAGGAAGAGCGAAGAAGGGAGGGCACAGCCCTAGCCAAGCCGAGCCAGTCTGTTAGTCGGGCTTGAACGTCGAGACAAGACGCCCCGGACTCGGGGGTCCTGGAACCTGACCCACGCCGCAGGCACCTCCTTTACAAGCCTGACTCCTAGCCGGATTCCCCCAGCCCCAAGGCTCCCGGAGTCCCTGTGCTGCTCGCAGGTGGTGCAAACGCCCCTGCTCTCGGGCGCCTCCTGTTGGGCAGAGGGAAGGCGGCAGTGGCCGCCGCCGAGAAGCGGGGCACAGGGCAGAGAGTGAGCTCGGGCCCCGGGAAGAAGCCAGGAGCTTCCCCGATGGTGCCACCGCTTCCTCCGAGCCGGAGAGGAGCGGCCAGGGGGCAGCTGGGCAGGAGCCTGGGTCCGCTGCTGCTGCTCCTGGCGCTGGGACACACGTGGACCTACCGAGAGGAGCCAGAGGATGGCGACAGGTAAGAGCTAGCAGCCCCAGCGGAGGCGAGGTCCTCCTGCATGGTGCGCGCTGGGCTGGCGGGGTGCAGGCTGTCTCCCACCGCCCGCCTTCGCAGCGATCCGCAGGCCCTCGCTCCTCCGGCCACTGACATGGTGCTCAGCTGCCCCGGCGACTTCTAACTCCGCTCCAAGTTGCGGCCTCGGCGCTCCCAGCCTGGGCTCCCCTAATCCGTGGGTCCCGACTCTGTGAAACCTTCCGTCCCGCGTCCCATGCCCTGCCCTGCTTCCTTAGCTTTTGCTTTCGTCAGAGGCTGGGTTTTGTCGGTTCTGATCGCCTCTGGCTCATTCCTGTCCTTGAAGTCCGTTCCGTATACGCGCTCGGGGACCAGTGCCTGCCCCGCGCGCAGAGACGCGAATCCCCGCGCGCGCACTGCCCTCCGCTCTGTTGCTGACAGTCAACGTTTCCTCGTCAACTTTTTCATAGAGAAGTCTGCTCCGAAAACAAAATCGCGACGACCAAATACCCGTGTCTGAAGTCTTCGGGCGAGCTCACCATGTGCTTCAGGTAAGCCTCGGGGGCTTGCGGAGTCCGCAACGCCACTGCGCACGCTGGCTGGACCCGGAGGCTGCGCTGCAAAGGAGGGATCTGGAGACGAGCTGCGGAACCCGGACCAGAGGCCGCGTTTGTGCTGGGTGCATTTTCCCTGGTGCCAACCTTTGGGTGTTTATGGGCCTGGGCAACCAAATTTGCATCTAGAGTGTGTGCCCCGAGATATTGGGAATGTTTACCCCTCCCTGAAATCCGTGCGTGGTGGAAGGGAAAGGCTTCCAAGTTTTTGAAGGAGAGTGGGTTGGACTGTGGATGTAAACAGTGGGGCATGGAGAAGATGAATGGCTGCTTTTGCACTTGCGTTGTGTTTTGAAAATACAATCAACAACACAGAAATATTTGGCACTTGCCTGTCTTTTGACCTTGTGTTAGGACACAGTGTATCACTGTCACGATCTCTGGGCAAACGAGTGGGGAGAGGTTTGTGGGTGGATGATGTGGTTGTGTTAAGTGAAAACAAACGTCCAGGTTGAGATTCAAGAAAGGAATGGTATGGGGTTCCACCTGGGTGCTCCTTAAAACTAAGCCAGTACAGAATCAGGGAATCTAATTTTAAGATGCACCCCAGGTGGTTTCTATCCCCAAAGGAAGGAACCTCGGTTTCCTGCTCTTTTGGAGGCGAAGGTTGTCATTGAATCCTTGGCTTCTTTTCCAGTCTCTTAGTGGATGGAGGAGGTAGCACCCTAAACGTTTATTGGTGGTCTGAACTTAAAAGGTACTGTGGTCACATGCCCATATCACACTGTCTGAGAATGAACACTGTTTGGAATATCAGGATGATTACTGGGCAGTACAAAGTAACAGGACAATCTCCAGAGATAGACTTGAAAGAAAAGTTTGAATATTCATTCTGTGGTAGCCAATGAATCAATCATGCTTTTTGCTGCAAAAACTCTTGTTCTGCCTACTCAAATGCTCAGAAATAAAGTGGCTGCAGGGCTGCTCAGTTTAGTGGCATAAAAGTACCATCAGTTACATCCTCATGCTTTTCCGTCTGGCTTTGGCAAAGGGAATGGAATGATGATTACTTAGTTGAATCAACAGCCACTTCTTAGACTTGGAAAGGGCTGCGTTCTCCACACACATGGGGGTGAACACCAGCTAGATGAGAGTGTGTTCAAGTGGCAGATAAAGGCTTTTGGAGAGTAACTGGATGAACAAGGTCACCCAGCTGGTGAATGACCTGGTCGTGCTGGCAGCAAGATAGTTTGCCTAGTTCCAGCCCTGTGTTTCATCCACATGACCACAGTATTTCTTAGGACACGTTGTTTTCCTATCAGTGCTGTATAAAGCCTCTAATTTCACATGGAAAGTGTCCCTGAGATGGTTTGCTCGTTTGTTCAGTCCCTAAAGGTCACACTTCACATAAATCAGTGACAGTTACAGAACCTCTGTCAGGTTTTCAGACATCACCGGTGCCTGATTATTCTATTTGTCATGCTGCTACTGCTAACTTTTCCAGATTGCATAAAGCAGTGTGGTATTTCTCTTACCCTGTCTCAGGGATACTAGCAGCATCTTGGCACATGTTTTCTCTAAGCAGCCACCAACGACACAGCCTGTGAGGTCTAGCAAAGAAGATTATTTTATGTCAAGGAAAAGAGTAAAGAACTTCAGTTTGCAGAATGGGAGAGGATACTTTCAGCTGGAGGAACCAGTAAGGATCCCTGTGAATATTAATAGCTTGGTTTTGATTTTAGATTTGTTTTCTTGATGTCCAGGTGTTCTGTGTGTATTTGCTTGAACTTATATTATTTCTACAATTTGCTCATTTCTTCAAGACAAAGTCAGTTGGCAGTTGCTGCCTTCGTTTTGCTCTTGAGCATTAAAATTGGTGGAAGGCTGTGTCCTTGGTTTATGAACGCTGATTGTCCTGACCTATAGCCCCTCCTGCTTTAAGTGTGGCCTAGAAACCAGCACAGCATCCTATGGGTAGAGGTTAGACTCTCAGACCTCTCCCCAGCTCCTCTGAATCAGAATCTTCCTCTTAATGGGATATGCATTGAAGGTTGAGGAGTTCCACCATGGAAACCAGGGTCCTGGGCCCCCGACATGGTACAAACCCATTTGGATGGATCCTCTGGAGCTGGAGTGCTCTGCAGGTGAGCAAGGAGTTAGCAAACACTTCAACCACATTAATCTAAAAGAAGAACCCCAGCCAGAGTCTTTTCAAGGGTTTCTCTTAACAAAGCTGTAAGTGATGTGACATCCATGCCCAGGGATTATCTTTGGAGTAGTGGAATCCACTTTTTATCAGGTGTCTTTTGGTGAATGATTTTCTGCACAAGTGAAAGGACTCTGAACTTGAAGGGATTTTTAAGTCATTGTTGACATAGAAGGTAGGTCTGCTACAGCAATGGATATGGTAGATGAACTAAATCTGATTTGTCACCATTCCCCAAAATGTATGGAGACCTAAGTGACTTAGAGGACAGGTGGATTCACCATCATCTTTGTTACAGACTATTCCCACCCCGTTTTACGTGATCTCACCTAAGCAGAACATTTCTGCTTTTAGCATTCTATATTAGATATTAAATAATAATAATTCGAGGACTTCCCTTGTGCTTTACACATCATTTCTAATCAGTAGGGTCACTCTGTAGCATTTATGTTATCTCACTTTTACAGAGGAGAGATCCCGAAACTAGAGGAATTAACTAACATGGCTACGCATTCAAAGCTAACACACATGAGAGCCAAGATTTGAACCTGAATTTGTCTGGCTTCAAAACCTGGGCTCTTTCATCATTACAGAGATGCCTATAGATGGGGTTGAATGTTCCAGATCTGCAATCTAAGAAAGGAAGAAGACTGTAAATTCAGAGGGCTATTAATTTCAGACAGCTGATTAAAAAAAAAAAAACCCACTAGCATCACCCATGTCTTCAGTGGTTCTTTTGAATTATCTTTGAAGACCTGTGAGGTCTGCCTTGGACAGTTGGCCTTACGTTATCATATGACATGTAAAACTGGTTCCTACATGTATAGCTTTCCTTCTTTGTAGGGTTTTATCTCAATTACAAGGTCATGTCTCTGTAGACTTTCTCCCTTCAACCTTGCATCTTGCCCAGTACCCAAAGATTATTAGTCACTTTTTGCATGAATGCCAGTAATGGCTTAGTGAGTTTAAAGCTAACATTTATTCAGCATTACAGTCTTACATAGTACATACCTTACCAGTAGTTAAGATATCAGAGCCAGGATGTGATTTATCTGAACTATGAATTCATTACAGCCAAACCAAGCATCTAAAACAAGCATAATAAAGTCATTATGGCATTATGCTTCTGTGGCTATCAGTTTTTCCCACAGGTTGATTTTCCTTCTTTTGTAAGAAGGGAAGTAGTAGTTTGAACAAAAGGTTTGGGTTTACTTTTCTTTTATTGGTATTTTATATAAATAAAATGACATATTAAAGGCATATGTATAGAAAAGCAATAAAATCCAGCTTTTATTGAGTGAAGCTGGAGTCAGTAAATATCCTAACTTTTTTGATTCCTTAGTCAAGGAGTTGAGTATCTATTAAGAACTTAAAATAGTCCTAGGGATGTTTGAGTATAAAAGAGGAAATGTCCCATAGTTTCAGATAGTCTACAGACTTGATTTTAGACCAAAGTCTGAAACTGTAGCCAGTACACAATGAAATATAATGGAGTTCAAAGTCCTGTCATTCACACTATATTAATGATGGGGAAGAGATCAGCAAGTAGGAAGGGCTTTATTGAGCATCTGTAATGAGAGAAAATTGTGTTTTTCAAGGTGATTCTTTAACATAGTGTACTAGCCACTGTACTTTAGAAAAACAGCTATGATATTTTTGCTTTTGGTACAGATCAAGTGGCACCAATGTCAAACCTGCCTCTTGGTCACACATGTGTCCAGTTAGTGCTATCTTGCTGAGGGAGTCTTGGCTGCGGATGGCTCAGGTTCCCATGGGAAAAGTGACATGGAGATGCAGAAACTCCCACTTTTCTTTAGATAGAGCAACTGTGCTGCCAAACCCTGGGAGAATATGGATGATAATGTGGTAATTCTGCACATGTGTTTACTTAGAATTTGTAGCACAAGAAGGGTCACTTTAATTAGGGTAGCACAGCTGGGTTGATGGCACTGGCTCTGGCTGAGGCTACATCTGAGGGAAGGCTGCAAAAAACTCTGCTGGCAGGTCACTTTGATAAAGCCAAAACACAGTAACACTTTTTGTTCCATTTGGAGTCCCAGCTTGATTACTTAGTTGTGTGACCTTGAACAGTTAATTTCCAGGTTTTCATTTTCTCTTTATAAACTAAGGATCATATTAATACTGAAGTTATGGGGTTGCCATAAGGATTATAAGTGAGTTAATATACATAAAATGGTCAAGATTCAGGGACATGCTGGATGAATAGTTCTTGTCATCATTGTGGAGCTTGTTAAGAGTGGCATAAGGGGAGCTTGTAGACAGTGCTCAGTGGGCATGTGTTGCCTTATTTTTTTCTTTTTTTTGAATTGTGTGAGGTTTTTCCTTTTCTTCTTCTTCTTCTTTATGTGTGTGTGTATGTGTGTGTGTGTGTGTGTGTGTGTGTGTGTGTGTGTGTATGTGTGTGTAGAGCAGAGCCTTTTAGAACTTGACCTTCCCTGTTTTAGAGAAGACCAGAGAGGTTTGCCCCAGCCCAGAATCCTGGAGGATGGTCTTGGCAGAAACAAAATAAGAAATCAGATCCCCAGTCTGTATTTTTGCCTTTCTGTTGCCTCCATCCTGTGACTAGAAGCCTGGAGGGCAGCTCTGAGAGTAGTTGTTGACCAGTTCTGGACATGTCATTGATTACCTTTCAGGAAGCATGTAGCCCTCCATACTGTATAATGAAGGAGGAAATGGTAAAAACACTGTAAAGAACAGGGCACAGGATGGTTTTATGCAGATTAGTCTAAATCACATGCGTGGTGAAAGCAGCCTTTTCTTCTCTGTTAGA